GGCGGATTGCACATTAATGACTACCAGATTGCACAATGACATCTGAAATTGATCGAACTAAAATTTTTGGCTTCAATTTTATATCTCTGTTTGATTACATGTTTTTTTTTTTATTTACTTTTAAAGCTTATATTTACATGCAATATTGTGCAATTCACTTATCAAAAATGGTGTAACTATTATTTTTATAAATTACGAGTTTGACCAATGGCCTGAATTCCAATATAGTTAAATATTCTTAATTTGCGAACAAGTCCATGGGAATGATCTAATTTATAAAATCAAGCCCTTCAAATTCCACAACCCCCAAACTCGGAAATTGAGACCTGCACCTCTCATCTTTCAACCGAATACCAGTGCGCTGATTTTGTCAAGCCACTGTATCACAACTGGTGGACGGGAAGAAGATCTACGGCGGGATTTTGACTTCACAACATCTTAAAAAATGTAGTTGTCGGCTTTGTTCTGCCGTGGGTCCAATTTTTATTGTCAGCGCGGCTCGAGAGTAAGAAACGGGTGAGGTTGACGTGATGTGCGTATCGATCTCGACGTTCGTCGTGGTATCACCAAATCTGGTCGGCATCGGGAGCAAAGGTAGAGCCGCAGAGAGTACGTCGGATTGGGTGGCTGCGATGGCCGTCAGTGTGAGAGAAACGGAGAGACGGTGTGAGAGAGAGGCAGAGGGCGGAGGCAACGGGCTGAAGAGAATGTGTGTATCCGTCTGAATCGTGGATAGTGTGTGTTATCTGTGTGTGTGAGTATGAAAGAGACTATGTGATTTTGTTTGTGGTGGACCTGCCAAGTGGGTGGTAACAAAATTACAAAACTGCCCTTAATCGCATATATTTGACCACAAGATGCTACTTATTTACAATTTTGCCACCATGTGTTTATTCAATTTTGATTTCACCATGACCATTGATACTATGAATCCAATGGTGTAAGATTATTCTTATTTGTTTCACTATCTCTTTCTCATATGATCAATTCTCTCTCTCAATATATACGGGAATTCATAGTGTAATTTCTCCTTGTATATATATAAGTGTGTGTGTGTGTGTGTGTGTGCGCACGCGTGTGTGTATTTGCGACATGTGTAACGAATGGAAATCAAATTGGAGATCGTATTGTTAACATATCTTACCGTACCGGCTTATATTATTGGTAATATCATGTGTACAATTACACGTAAATACTGAATTACAATAATATCAAATTTTATAGGGATCATACCGTAAATACCATTCCAAAATAGCGGTCACCAAACAAAATATATTTAAAAATTTTAAATAAAATTATTAACTTAAAATATTAAAATTTTAAATTTATAGTTGAAATGCTTTATTTTTGTCTCGAAGTTAAATTTAATGAATCTTTTTTTTTTTTTTTTGGTACAAAAATTTAATGAATCTTGTCAATTATTTTTTTATGTTTCCTATTATATTTATTATGTGAATATTAATATATTTATTAGTTCGGTATACCATCTTTGCTAGCGACTTGAACGGTAATACAATATTAGCAGAATTAGGGCATGTTTGCTGGGCTTGTTAAGACAAGATAAATTTTATCTCATTTGCCAAGATTGTATTGTAGAGAATAGAGATATGATACAAACAATGTTTGTTGAGTATGATTGACTGAAAGTAAGATTTTTTAAATATAATGTATTATGCATTTGTTTGTTTGGACAATTGATAGGATAAATAATAAATTTATATATTTTTATTCTATGAATAAATAAAATTACTTTGTGCCTTTCTTCTTCCACATATGTGTTGTTTTTAGATCCTGTTGAGATCTTTGTAGTTGTTTTAGTTGTTGTTTGTGTTATTGGGTATTCGTGTAGTTGGTTTGTTTAGTTGTGAGTGTTTTTATTCTAGCGTTGCTAGTCAGGATTCTGGGCGGTCTTTTGATCTGTCCTCCCATTTTTTCAGCTGTTGGTTGTTCCATTCAGCTAAGGGCTGCTTGTATTCGCACATTTGTACATTTTGATTTATAATAACATCTCGTTTTGGAAAAAAAAAAAAATAAAAATCTACAAACTCTTTGTGTCATTGTTATTATTAATTATTATAATTAATTTCAATGTTAACATTGTTGTTTTATTTTTTTGGTTCATCACATTCTGTTTATTTTTTTTATTTTTTTCCGTCATTTACACATAACTCCTGTAATTCCCAATGCTACCAGTATGCATTCAACTTTTTTTATATCGATAGTATGCATTCGACTTTGTTATCATGTTACACCAGTGATTTAGCTTCGTTGCTCAATAGACCTCACACATTGATTTTTTTTTTTCTCGAAACGATAGGTTTTCATAAAAGAGAAGAGAACACATAAATACAACTAGCAACCGGCCAAAAGCCGAATCTAGTCGTAAGACATCCCATACATGAGCCTAGGCTATCACAACGCACCCAAAATAACTCTAACAAAAACTCTCAACAAGAGAATACACAGGTCCCAACGGGATAATAAACCCAAACATATAGAAATACACACACACACAAAAAAAAGCACAACCTACACACACACACAAAAAAAAGCACAACCTACACACAAACCTAATCCTAAAAACAAAATAAAATAAAGCCCTTCCTGCAAACGGACAAAAGCACCAAACAAACCACGACCAAGGCACTCTAAGTCGACCACTTATACAGACTGGATCTCGCCTAATCTTAGAACCAAAAATTGCAACGCCCGCCTAACTGGAACCAAAACCCACGAACTCGAAATCGTGTCCAAGCGACCTACCCCACCCCTTAGTTGATAGAAAACCTGACACAAAACCCCACCACAATGCCACTGATCTGAAATGATCCCACACCACGACCCGGTTCATCACTCCAGTTGCTCTTTCAGCCCACGCACCAGGGGTAAAAGGGACTAAGGGTAGAGTCCACGCTCCTTGGACCCAACCACCAACCAGGTCGTCGGGCTCGCAACCCAAGCCCACTGCACCTCTGCCGTGACACCGCCCTGGAGATCAACGACTAACGGTCCAAAAGGCGACCAAGGATAGCGGCAAAGCCCTTTCGGACCCAGCCGTCCAACCCATCCCGCTCGAAAATAACGACATCAGCTATAGGAGGGTTGACTCGCGCAGCCAAGAGGTGGCCGCCGTCGAGGCTCAGCGGCCCGCTAGAGAAGGCAAGCGGCGATCTAATAGGCTAGGGCTTCTTAAAGACTAGCTTATTAAAGTTTGTAAGTTTGTTTCTCTCTCTCTCTCTCTTGTCCCGTTTTTTTCAAATTTCGTCTCCAGACCTCACACATTGATTTATCAGAGAAAAAAATGTTATTTTATAGGCATTTTTTGAAAAATCTAAAGGAGAATGATTGAAAACAACTTTGCTGATTTAATTTGCACATATTTACTTTTTCAAATGTGCTATTATCAGTTTGTATATGAATCATTGCAACACAAACGAATCAATGTTATTTCTATAAACAAATGAATTTCACAAGCACTCAACAAACACTCCTTGAGCCATCGACCCACATTCACAAATGTCATCGCTTAGGTCACGTTGTACACAAGGAGCACCCCTAATTAAGGCCCACGGTAGTACGCGCTCGTGATGGCACGATTGCTCTCCTGCCCAGCAGTGTCCCATATTTGGGCCTTTATGCTTGTCCCATCGACCTACAAACTCATTAACACAATCATTTGTTACTAACATTCATTCAATCTACTAAATTCAACCACTCAACAACTAAAGAATAAATAAATATTGACAATAGAGGAAGCTTCAAATTCCCACAAGCTTATGGCTAATTTATGCAGGGCATTTGATCCCCTTTCATTATACTCGCATTTGTCCATCAATAAAATCATTCATCCAGATTAGTGTTCTCTTTCTTCAACCCATCGGAACAATAAAAAAGATAAGTTCAAATCACAATGCATATCAATACAAGTGTGGAACTTCACTCAATCATGCTGACAAGTTTTAAACTGTACTACAGTGATGCATACAATCGATTTAGGGAGTAAACAAGCAAACACTAGACTTTTACTGACAGATCAAAGTTAAAATCACAGCGCTTCAGAAAATATGTTGCATCTAAGAAAAGAAAGCCTACTTACTACACCAAAACCAACAAAACAAGCGTAAATTCACTTGATTTATGAGTATACACAGGTAAGAGAGCTAGCGAGGCCAACCTCCCACCGCTATCAATCGATACAAAACACTTGTTCATAAAATAACCATTGCAATTTCATGCTTAGAATAGTAAGCAGGAGAAGAAAAACAAGAATTAGAGGAACCTCAAGTGTGCGGGTGGTGAACTCGACGTCGATGGTAAATTTTTATTTGAGTCTGAAATCGTTCCGAGTGAATCAAGACAACAAATTCATTTTCGACGCCTGAATTGCAGATTGGTACGATCTTGAAGAGGTAATTGTGCTCCTCATCCAGCCTCCTCGCCATTAATCAACTTTTTTCTATACATTTCTCTCTTTTAGCTATGAGCCGGGATATCAAATTAACTTCCAACAAATCATCTTCCCGACTCATAGCCATCTCTACAATCTACAATTCGCACAGTCAAACAACCAAGAAATACAAAGTTGAACAAAAATAAGTCCACACATTCAACGGCCCAATTACTCAAGCACTCAAAGCTGCTAGACCAGCCCCCAAAACAGTAAATAAAAACAATGAAACCAATTTCATAGCCATCTTTCAACAATCCATAATTCACGTAGGTAAACAACCAAGAAAAACAAAATAAGTGGGAAAAAGATACAAACAACCCACACATTCAAAGATCCATATTTTTCTCAAGCACTCAAACTGCTAGACCAGCCCACCCAAATCAGTAAACACAAATAATGAAACAAAAAGTCACTTTCATTTGCGCATATTCTCTCACTTGAAGATCCTCTAGAAGATAATCGTGCTTCATGGAGAGGTCCATAGCGCTCTTCAGACGCCGGTTCTTGGCATCCACGATCTCCTTAGGCAGCCGATTAAGTGCCTCCTTTACATCAAGGTCTTACATCGGGTTGTACAGATCGTCGTACGAAGCCCTAATCCCGCACAAACCAAATAAAAAATTCAGATAAAAATAAGCTCCTTGATTAGGAAGACAAATTTGTGTTACCATATTTGCTGAGGCGGTTGTACAAGGTTTTCATGTGGAGCGCGGTTGCGTGTTACGCATCGGGTCCACGATCCATTTGGGAATTGCCGAACTCCATTTGTACGGAGCTCAAATCTCTTGGTATTGAGAGTTCATGCAAAATACGCGAGCGATATGGTCCGAAAATCAAAATGTGAGAGATATCAATTAATGTCTTTTTGTACCGACTCTAGAATACACTCTTGCATCTAGCCTACCTGTAATATCCCGAGATATTATCAGTATAACTTACGTTTAATTCCGATATAGTAACG